ATATATATATATATATATATATATATATATATATATATATATATATATATATATAATTCGACGAGGCGACATCGCCTCGCGTGGGGAGAAGAGAAGCGACGTCTACGATTTTTTTTTTACTTTATATATATATATATATATATATATATATATATATATATATATATACTGCTCGGTATACCGTATCGTACTGTATTGAGGGAATGTCGAAATTGCGGTACGGTACGATATTTCAATCCTTGATTTCAATTACATGAAATCAATGTGAGTTTTTATGCAATGGAGGCATATGATATGGAATCAATTTTATTTATCTCTTATTTAAATAAATTTAATTAGTTTAGGGATATTTCGCATATATAACAAGTTGTCACATGACAACATCTACTCAACACTAAATGTTAAGTAAAAAAAGAAAGTAATTGTAGAAAAATTAAAGAAATCAGATTTGATCTTGATTGAAGATAATAAATTTTGATCGAAGATTTTAAAGATTCATTTACAAAGATGGAAGTCTATCAATTAAAAATATCAAGAGAGGAAGATTACTTTTCACATCAAGTCAGAAATATTTCCTTCTTTAAAGGAAAAAACATATCATATATTTGATTTAATACAATTGTAACTCTTCTTATCTTTGTATTTTCTTTTTTATTCTTGTTATTCAGATCTACAACAAGAGATAGGGCATTGTAATGGAAATCATCAAAACTGGATCAATAAATTGAGTTTTGCTCCCACATTATGTGCGAGTGATGTGAGGCCATAGTTGTATTTTCGATGATATGGTTCCATCATCCATGTGCGAGACGTGTGGAGGTGCGAGGCCTTTATACTGGAAGTGTTTTCATTGAGCTAGAAAGACTCGAATCTATTACGTTTCTAATGGTATGTTTCCATTGTCCAAGTGCGAGACGTATTGAGGTGCAATGTCTTTATCTTGGGTGTGTTCTCACTGAGACAGAGCGAATCTTTATTTTCCTATTATCTTTCTCTTCTCTCTTTCTATTCCTCTATAACCAAAAAAAATCCATGGCTACTCGTCCGACATCATATTGCTTTACTGTCTTCAACAAGGTACCAGAATTATTTGCGACTTATATACATTACTGGTTCATGGATCAAGTCACAAATTAATTCCAGCCCAACTACATTATTCCATATTCCCAACAGAACCTTTATTATATTTCCAAAATTGTCACATACATCCTATGGTCCAGTAATTCATTGACATTATGTGAAAGTGTCTATTAAAGTCGAGTTCACAATCACAAAACCATACATGTAGTATAAAGTAGCCCAAACACAAAGAACAAAGTTACCTCACTTTCGGTCAGGGGCCTGTCTGCTGATATCACAAAGAGAATCAAGTCAGCACGTGGCACAAACTCTTCAGTGAGGCGTTGTTGCCTTTGAAGAATCACATTTGTTCCAGGTGTATCCACAAGGTTCATCTGTTTTACAGGTTAGTGACTACAAGTATTGCAAGAAATAACATATTGCCATAGGCCTAACAGAATCTGAAAATTCATGCATAACAGAAGAAATTGACAATTTCTAACATGGCTGCTCTGCAAATTGCAATATGTAGACAATATCACTAAGGTAAATCTTTAAGATACGTGATAGCTTACATTTCTAGCTACAAATTAGAAAAAATCAATTAATTATACTCAAATGGAAAAATTTACACATTCACAGTAACAAATTATAATCATGACTTTACATTGTACAAGTTAATCAAGCAAAAGTGTCTTAAGATTTAAAATAAGCATATGTAACATACACGACAGTCAACAAATGAGTGATGGAATATAGCATAAGTGTCACAAATGATGAATCTAAAAGATAAACGTGTTGAATTAGCTTGGACAGATAGGTAAACAGGATGAACCAGGATCAGCCCATCTGAGTTAATTATGACAGATGTTGGTAAACATCTGACAACGAAAATACTGGAGTTCAGGATAGTTGGACGTCAATTTGAATCTTAAGGCCAATCTGATAAGCAAACTTTCAAAATCACTTTATGTAATAATATATTTTTATATGAAGCAACATCAGATACTACATAATTTCTTATGTTTTGCTTAACTAGGATCTTTATTAGCATATTCATATTTTCAGCCATTAGTCTTGCTAACAGCTCAGAATCAAAATTTACAAACCATATTAATAAACAAAGAATGAGAACAAAGAGAATAAAAGGATTATTAAAAAATTTATTCAGATTGTATTTTGGTGTAAAAATAGTTAAAAAGATAAAAGGAAAAAAAACACCATTTCTCAGAGGCACCTTGAAATAATAGCTTATTAAAATTTTTGAGGCCATGATACTTGGACAATTAGTAGGTTGTTAGAATAGAATATGCACCACATTTTGAGGTATGAATAATCTTAGGCACTCATTTCATGAAAATTCTATTCAAAAAAGTGTTAAGAACAACCTATTGTTCCTCAAGAAAAGAGAGATCCAATGTCGAGAAAAATGTTTCCATGGTCGTTGTTGACTACAATATTGGATTGTTCAAGCTTCCTTTTCTCAAAATTCTATGAAAGAAAAGAACCTACTTCTGATTAATTATCTGTGTGTATCTCTGTTGGTGTATAAAGAATGAAGTACAGAACTGAGACACAAAAACCTAATAAAACTAGTCTCTGTTGGTGTGTTTTCTTTTAGATGCGTAAAGAATATATAATTAAGCAATATAACAAAGTAATGAAGTGCAGAACTGAAATGGACTAAACCTAATAAAACTAACATTTAAATCTTCTTAAGAGGAATTCATTTTTCTTTGGTGATGCCTAATAATGTCAGTAGAAGCAAATGTTCTAGAGGACTTTCTTTTGCATTTCGTGACACCTAATGATGTTAGCAGAAATGAGAAGCCTAGCATTTCAAATTACATGTTGCCCAGCTTTAGAAAAGTGCTCTAAACAGGATAAACAATAAATGTACAGTAATATTGAAAGGAAAACAGAAGACTATGTGATCACATTGGGACTCCAAACAGCTTCATCAAGTTACAGTTGACTCCACCCTTCAGCAGCTCAAAGTAAATAAAATGTCCACATAAAAATGAAACTTTGAGTATACATTTAAGTGCTAAATCTATTTATTTATAAAACATATATAATGTCCTGCCAATAGACCTCACCTCTTCTATTAATAAGTAGAATTAACTAAGTCAGATAACTATAACATATGACAATCAGACATTACAGGAACTGTTAATCTGAACAAAAATTTAAAATGAAGTTCAGGAATACTGACATCCTTGAGTATTGGTGACGATAAGTAGCAAATGAATTGTCCATCAGGATTTCTTTCACAACGTTTGTGATTGTCAGAGTCCATATCAGAATACAAAAGTAGAGTGATCTCATTTGTAGTGGGAACTACTCCTTCCTCAAGATACCTTTTTCCAAGAAGAGCATTTATAACAGTAGATTTCCCAGAATTAAATTCACCCTAAGAATGAAATGTTGAAAAATTATCATGAGAACAGGAGAATTTTAACATGGAACAGAAAATTATTATATGACAGAAGCATCCAACAAAATATCCTTTTGAAAAGTTTATATTAAATTACCACATCACCAGATTTATAATAATCCACAGTAAATTTAGCAACCAAAGTTCTCGAGGTTAATAGAAATAAGAAAAAGAAATATTGATTAAAGTGGACATGAAAAGGCAATCACAAAATCAGAAGCAAGTGGAATATTACAAGATGTTCCAACAGTTTATGAAAGAGAAAACATCACGATTGCAGAGCTAAAAGTATGCATAAGGACTGTATATAACTTGTCATCATGTATCAATCAATAACTTAAATTTCTTCAGAACAATTATATGATGATAGTTTTTTCAAAAATTTTAGTTTTAACTCACCACAATAACCAGCAAAAATGGCTCACAAAGGCGAGCTGCAGCATCCACAAGAAGCGAAACATCCTTCATCTACCAGCAAAGGTATATATAGCTGATGTCATGCATATGACAACTAATCAAAGAAATGAATTCTTATTCAAAGCATTTTTCAACTACCAAATGTTTAACAATAGAAGATCACCATTGGTGTCGCTTTCTGGATAATAGAAACTGCTTCATCTATCAATAGTCTTTCTCTTTCTATCAATTGTATTTCACGATCATCCAACCTTGTAAACCCACTGATCCCCTTTTGTCCATTATTTACAACTCTAGAATCATCAGACTTGGTTCCTGAATTTGGAAATGCATCTTGCAGGATGCCATTAGCCATATATGCCATAGCAAACATCTTCAGAATACCATCATCAAAGGACATCAGGTCATTCAAGGACATAACCATCCCACCAGCACCATATTGGAGCAACTTTGATGCCATTTTTGAAGGTAATTGATTACCATGTGAGTCACTTGTGGTGAAGAAAACTGGAACCTTGATAAACTGAGTAATGGAGCTTTCTTGTCCTGCAACAGATTTGACTGTCTTGATACTCATTATAAGAAAGTCAGCACCCTCAGAACTAGATGCAGTTATAGCAGAGGCTGTATCTTGCACTGTCCTTGCTACTAGAGGGAGATATACTGAATCAGATCTTGATTTCATCATCATATTCCTTGCAACAAGAGCAGGAATAGCTGTATCAAAAAAGAAACTACGCTAAAATACAAAATGTCAAAGAACTAAATGTTATTTAATAATTTCTATCTAAATTTGCAAGCAACAAAAAGTGAATAAAAATACATAGGAAGCATTTAAGATTCTCAAAATGTGAAAGATACAGTATCATTTATACAATGGTTAAAAGGAAAAGGTAAGCAGTAATAGAACATAGACAGCGACAAGGTAGGTATGGTCCATATAGATACACTAACAGTACATAGATTTGCAAAATAATAAAGATAAAATACATTAAAAACAAGGCACATTGGGGTTTGAAGTTATCTTCTCAATTCATGTGATATTGTCTAATCCGACCATTAATTATTTCTAAAGAGTGCTCTTTCTTTGAGTTTGCAAAACAATGAGGCTTCTTTTTGTAAAATAAGTAAAGAAAAAAAATCATGCAATAACTAGAAGCACCTTTCACTCAGATGGCTTACATGTGGGGCTGAGTTGGATGAAAAGCAATAATAGCAAAATATAGAAACATTTGCCACTGTCATACACGAAAGTCGAAACTATGTTTGGCATCTAAAATTCCTCCCCCAAAAGTTCCTCATCAGGTGTGACTTTTGAATGAACCTGATATGTGGAGTCAATAGGTTAGGTCATGATTACACCATCCATGATCCAGTACATCAAGTTTGTGAGTATATTAAATGATAAGAAGTTTTTGTAAGCGTTCTTTTGTATGTGTCTCTAAGTTTTTTTTTTGTATTTTATAAATGTAATTAGACTTCATTTAAAATGATGGTGGTAGTTATATGTCTTTTTAAATCTAATAGCACCAACATATCTTTGGTACATGTAACTAGACTATCTGAAATGGGAATGGCAATTCACATCTCTCAAAAGCCAAGGGGTTATGGCACACACCCATGCTACTAAAAACCTTCGCCACTAAGGAAATCTTTAAAAAAATGAAAATCCTAGAAAGGAAAATTGTATGCCCCTTAAATTATATAATGATATTTGTTAAGCAAAGCTCAATGCTGGAAAAGATCCCTACGGCCAACCATTTATGGTTGGAGCCTTGGAGGTTGGACCTTATGTTGTGTTGTTTAAAATTTATTATCCAACTAACTGAGTTTTATAATTCCAAATATTAATTTGCTTCCCTAAACACTTTAATGCCCATAAATTTTTTACCAGTTCAATCAAATTGAAAGAAAAATTTAATGAGCTTAAGGGGTCAGTAGCTTCTCAACCATACATTCAATTTTAGAAAATAAAAATCCGGTGAATCAATGCCAAGATGACAACTGCAGCTTGGTCACAAATGTCTCTCGATCAATTATGGAAACTGAGAACTTAAACGCATGATTTGAACCATACACGTGCCATGTAGAACTTAAAGATGATGCAACTTCAAGTAACATCAAAGGGAAAATAAAGGTATAATTGAAATTGATGGTGAATAAAATATTAAAAAGCAAAAGAAAAATCATGGTTGGCCTTATCGGTCCATACCGGTTTATCGACCAACTATCGATACGATATATACTGAGCCGTATCAAGCCATACTAAGCGTATCAACACAGTATATGGCGGCATACCCAAGAATTGAAATATCATACCGTACCGGAGTTTCGACCTTCTCTCGGTACGGTACGATACTGTATACCGAGCAGTATACCATTTGGTATATATATATATATATATATATATGATAATAAAAAATTCGGTAATGTCGCCTCTCTTCTCCCCCATGCGAGACAACGTCGCCTATCTTCTCCCCAGGCGGGGTGACGTCGGCAAGATATACGTATATACAAGGTCTGCAATTTCGTATCGTACCGGAGTTTCGACGTTCACTCGGTACGGTACGAAACTGTATACCAAGCGGTACACCGAACGGTATACCGCTTGTTATATACATATATATATATATATACATATATATATATATATACATATATATATATATATACATATACATATATTTATATATATATATATAAATATATATATATGTATACATATATATATGTATATATATGTATATATATATATATATCTCGGCGACGTCACCGAAGCGACGTCGCCTCTCTCTTCTCCCAAGCGGGCTGACGTCGCTTCGACGACGTCGCCTCGTTTATATATATATATATAAATTAATATATATATATATAAAAGATTATATATATATTTATATATATGTTTTTTTATTTAAAAGGCGACATCGTATCGTCTCGGCGACGTCGCCTTTTCCTTCCCCACGCGGGGCGACGTCGCCTCGTTTATTTAAATATATAAATGTATATATATATATATATATATAATCCAAAAAAAGGCGACGTCGCGTCATCTCGGCGACGTCGCCGAACGTCGCCTTTTTCTAAAATATTTATATATAAATATAAATAAATATATTTATTATTTTATTATTTTTTTCGTTCCGCTCGACGCCCGGTAGCGAGCGGTCCGCGTACCGGTATGCCGTCGGACCGATACGTACCGCCCATACCGAGCGGTATCACGGACCGATACGTACCGCCCGTACCGAGCGGTATCATTCAGTATTGCCTACCTTACATATATATACATATATATATATAAATATATGTATATATATATATACATATATTTATATATATATATGTATATATATGTATATATATACATATATGTATATATATACATATATATACATATATATAACAATGTGCGATGTTGCAAAAAAATGAGGCGATGTCACCTCTTTATATATATATATATATATATATATATACAATTACACATATACATATATATATATATATATATATATATATATATATATATATAAATACCATCCGGTAGCGAGTGGTCCGTATACTAGTTTCCTGTCGGACCAGTATGTACCGCCATCATTTGAAGCTGTATACCTTGGGCGTACCAATGTACCACCCGTACTGGTCTCTTGTCGGACCGATATGTACCACCTGTATCGAGCAATACGCCGTGATATGGCGAACCTTGAGAAAAATACATTTCATCAATTTTCAACTACAAAAAAAGTGAAGAGGATATTTTCAGTCTAATGAGGGAGAAGTGGTTGAAGATAAAAGAAAGAAACCAGCATGTGGACAAAAATAAACATTTTGGAGGACTACTCACTTTGTAGTGTAATATACCAGGGATTTATAATATATAGTATACAAAAGAAAATATATATGTAACAACGCAGAAATGGATGATTAAGGTGATTGAATAAAGAGGAAATCCAAACAATTCTTGACTAGAACTATAATGTGACAATTTTATGCTACGTTTTTAATTTCGAATACCGGATGGTACGTACTAATCCGCCAGCAGACCAGTACGCGACTGTATCGAACGATACGGGCTATAGCAGGCGGTAACAGTCGAAATTTCGATCGTTATCGTTACCGACCTGTGACAGTGTTCCAACGGTCAAATTGACCGTTGGAGCCCTTTCCAATGGGTTTTTAAACCCATCCTCCCCCTTATTTCACTCAATTTTACTCTCACACTCTCTTAAATTACCTCAAACTCATTTTTTTTCACATTTGCATTCTACTAAACTCTACAAAGTAACGATTTGTTAATTGAATCGAGACTAATTTGGGAGGATTAAGAGGAAGAACTTTTTGATCAAGAGGTATGCATTCTCTTGCTTTAATCAGAGAGTAATTAAGATCTATAATATTATGTTTAGTGTGTTTAATATTGATTAATTCAAAATTAGACACTTAATAGGTCAAATTTTATATTTCATGCATATTAAATATTGGAAGATATTTATGATGGTAAAATAGGTTTAATTAGGTTTTACTAAAATTATTTAATACTGTGATTAATGATTTTAATGATGATTTAATCGAAATATGATGGATTTTGGATCAATTCAATGTCTTTAATGCATATTAAGATGTTTGACATGTTTATAGTATTGAAAGAAAAGTAATTAATGGGTAATTAACTATGATAATCGTATGATTAGTGTATTTAATGATAATTTCATCGTAATTTGATGTATATTGGATCAAAATTTACGTATTTAATGTTTCTTTTATATGTTTCGTATATTTATGATGGTAAAATAGATTTAACTAGGTTTTATTAAAGTTATTTAATGCTGCGATTAGTCATCTTAATGATGATTTAATCAAAATTTGATCGATTTTAGATCAATTCAATGTCTTCAATACTTGTTAGGGTGTTTGACATATTTATAATATTGAAAGAGAAGTAATTAATAGATACTTAACTATGTTAATCGTGTGATTAGTATATTTAATAATAATTTTATCATAATTTGATGTATATTGGATCAAAATAAAGTATTTAATACTTTTTTATGTGTTTCACATATTTATGATGATAAAATAAGATTAGTTATGTTTTAATAAAATTATTTAATGCTGCGATTAGTGGTTTTTTTATCGATATTAGGTCAATTCAATATGTTGATGCTTTACAGCTTATTTGATTTAAATTTCATAAGATCATGACACCAAAGGAACAGCCACATGATGATGCATGGGTTTATACCCAAAAAATAGATGGGAACCGTCATCAATGGCAATGTATTTATTGTGACTACATTGGCAAGGGTGGAGGAATAACTCGGGTGAAGATACATTTGGCCCGCGGGTATCCCGATGTTGCAAAATGAAAGATGGTTTCGACGGAGATCCATAAATTATTTCAAAGCAAGCTACAACAAACAAAGGAAGATACATTAAAAAAGAAGGCAAGAGTTAAGGAAGAATATTGTACGGCTACGCAAGAACCAGTTTATAATTAATATGAGGGTCGCGGCGATGAAATCGACCTAGATCTCACAATTGGGATTCGTGCATCATTGGAGCATCAGTATATGGTCGACGAAGCAATGAGGCATCGACGACCTAACTCACAATTGGAGCATGGCAGTGGTAGTGGAATCTAGAGGTCGACCAGCATGAGGCAGCCAACTGCTCCTCCTAAGTTAGGCTGAACTAGTAGCATGAGGCATGGTGGACTCTAG